GAAGGCCACACCCCCCTCCAATCATTTCTATAGAAACATCTACCTTTCCCGCCTTCCAGTTTAGTATCATATGCTGTCCTTACAACAAGCAGTTGTGTAGTGCTTATTTCACTGGTGAGTTTGATATTTTTTTCATATCATTGTGTGGTGAAAAATGGATTGGTACTTACTGACAGAAGATGTTACTGTTCCAAAACAAAAGCCAGAAGCTGAAATGGCTAAAGTCTATACAAAGAAAAAATCTGCAAAAACAATAAAATATGATGAAGCATATATGGATTTTAGTTTCACTTCCATTGCAGTTAATGGAGAAATCAATGTGTAGTCTGTGCAGTAACTTTAGCACATGATAGCCTGAAGCCAACAAAATTAAGACACCATTTAGAAACAAAACATGGTGATTTGGTAGGAAAGATCAGAGATTTTTTCGAATGAAAGCTACAAGAAATTAATAAACAAAATGAAAAATGTGGTATCTATTCCACAAGTGCTTTAAAAGCATCATATCAAGTTACATACCACATTGCCAAGAATAAAAAGACTTACAAAAACTGGGGAAGAACCAGGGGCGGCTCTATGTATTTTGCCGCCCCAAGAACGGCAGTGAGGCAGCCTTCGGTGGTGTGCCTGAGGGAGGTTCGCCGGACCCACGCCTTCGGTGTACCCACCGCTGAAACCGCGGGACCGGTAGACCTCCCGCAGGCACGCCGCCAAAGGCAGCCTGACTACCGCCCTCACAGCGACTGGCAGGCCGCCCCCTCGGCTTGCCGCCCCAGGCATGCGCTTGGTGCATTGGTGCCTGGAGCCGCCCCGGGGAAGAACTGATTCTCCCAGCTGCAATTGACATTTGCAGGATGATGCTTGTGACAGTGTGGCAAAGAAGTTAAAACAACATAGTCAGCCGCCAAATTTCTGACATGTCAGAAAATATCAAGGCACAGCTAATCTCTTGATTGCAATCCAGTTTATTTGCAGTCCAGTTGGATGAAACAACAGATCTATCAAAAGCTCATTTAATTGCTTACATTTGGTACTCTCATGAAACATCAATATTGGAAGATTTTTTTTGTTCTGCAAGCCAATTAAGACACGTGTAACTGGATCTGAGCTGTTTAACACTTTAAACAAGTTCCTAATTTTTCACAAGTTGAAATGGGAAGCCTGTACTGGAATCTGCATGGATGGAGCCCCTTCTATGTCTGGAGATAGGGCAGGCTTGAAAGTCAAAGTGTTTGAAATTGCTCCACATATATAATGGACTCATTGTATGATACACCGTGAAGTCTTTTCAACTCGAAACATGGATCAGGAACTTACTGATGTTCTGAGTTCTTCTATTAAAATTGTGAACTTTATCAAGATGCAGCCCACAAAGGCACATCTCTTTGCAATGCTTTGTGCAGAAATGGGAGTGGAGCCCGATGCTTTGTTGTTTCACACAGAAGTCAGGTGGCTACCCATGGGGAAAGTGTTGAAACGCGTTTATGAACTGAGAAATGAAGTTTGACTTTTTCTAGTGGATTAGAATTTCAGCAACACAGACAGGCCTTGTTGATATTTTTGACAAACTGAATTCTCTAAATGTCTCATAGCAAGGAACAGAAAGTACTATTTTTGAACTGCACAAGATTCTGGCATTCAAGAGAAAGGTAGATCTCTGGAAAACAAAGATTGAAACTGGTTTAAGCAGTCCATTCCCGTTGTTAACTGACGCTATCGAGGAAAGAGAATCTGAACTATTGAGTGTTGTGGAGCCAATCGAGAATCACTAGACTTCTCTCAGAGCCAGTTTGAATAAATATTTTCCCAAAGGAAATGCACCCCTGAATGACTGGATTATCCAACCTTTTGTAACTGAGACAGTGACCTTGTCCCATCTCTCAAATGACATTCAAGAGTAGCTGATTAACTTCAGAGTGATAGGACACTGGAAATTCAATTTTAAAAATAGTCTATGGGGGATTTTTGGTTGAAAGTTGGCTCAGAATATCTAGCTTTGTCGAAGTGTGAAATCAAACCTCTTTTACCATTTGGTTCATCTTAGCTGTGTGAGATTGGATTCTCTGCGCTGGCTGTGCTAAAGACCAAGTACCATTCGAGACTGGAAGAGGAGGAGAACTTCAAAGTGTCAGTTTCAAAAATCTCCTCAAAAATTGATAAACTGTCCACAGAGAAACAGGCACACCCTTCACATTAAGTATCTGTGTATTTGAAATGTACAGGTGTAGGTAATTTAATTAAAGTTCTGTTAAGGTCTCTGTTACATTTATGCTATCAATAAGGCTGCAAGTTTGTCATGGAGGTAATGGAAGTCACAGATTAAGTGACTTCTACAGCGGCAGGCGCAACTCAGGCAGCGCCTGCGCCAACTGCACCGGCCGCTGATGGGGCAGTCTCAGGCCCCTGGACCTCCCCCCCCCCCAACAGCAGCAGAGTTTGGGTGTGTGGGAGAGGTCAGGGGATTGGGGTATGAGACGGGGTGAGGCGCACTCTGGGCGGCGCTTACCGGAGGGACTCCCTGGAAGCAGCAACATCCCCCTCACTCAGCTGCTAGGCGGAGGCATGGCCAGGCCACCGAGGGCACCGCCCCCGCAGCTCCCAAATGGCCAGGAATTTTTGTTTACTGCCCATGACTTTTACTAAAAATACCCATGACTAAAACGTAGCCTTAGCTATCAAGCATAATTTTGCATGTGTCTATTTTTGTCTGGATGGGGCAGGGGCCGCAACCAAAAATTGTAACTCAAAAGAGTGGGCTCAGGTCAAAAAGTTAGAAAACCATGGTTGTAAAACAAGGAAGATTGGCAAGAGGTTTTTGTTTTGTTTTGTTTTTTTAAGAAAGCAGTTCAGTTAAATGCCAGTTCTGGGAAAAACTGACTATTAAAAGAACTGTTATAAATTTAAGCCAGGACAGAGTATCGCAAGTGTCTAGTGAAAGTCCCTCTCCCAGTTGGGGAAATGGGGAAACACCAAGCTGAAGGGGCAAAGTTTGGAGGTACCAAGATCAGCCCCACGATTTTTGGTTAGTTCTGAGCAACTAAACAACAATAATTGGGTGTTTGGCAAATGAATGTGTAATAGGAGCTGTGACATGCACAGGAATTGTGGACGCTGACTCAAATGTAAACCAGACATGCTACAAATAGTAGGAAATGAAGCATCCAGAATTGAACCACCTAATTGGTCCCAAATAGATAAGAGTGATTGAGAAATTCGTAGTTGTACTCAATTAGGGGAAATTGGGTTTAAAAACTGGACCTCTAGAATTTGAGCCAGGAGTCTGGATAGCTAAGACAGTGGATGGTCAAATAATCAGTTTGAATTTTATTATAGCTACTAACTGTGAAATATCAAGAACAGTGTCTTGCAAATTCAATCTGTGGAAATTCCCTTTAAAGATGTGACCCATAAAAAATAGATGATTTGTAGGGGACTGGTTTGCAGTGAACAACTTGTCGCCCAGGGGCTGAAACCACAATATCAGTGACATGCTGTGGTAGTGAATGTGTGAGACTTGCTTTGAGACCGTAGCTGACAAAGTCCTATTGGATCTAAAGCAGGAATGGATTCTTCTTTGATTGCTGAATATTTCTGACAAACAATACATGGTAAAAGAATGGACCCACAGCTGTAAAATGTGAATCAGAGGATACAGTAAATGAGGCACAGAGAAAAATCTGAAGGGGGAAACAGTCTGAGAAACTTTCAAGTTAGGAATCAGGAGTTGTTCTCCAATGAAAATGTTATTACAAGGGAAGGGAAACCTCACTTGACCATGCCCTGATCCTTCAAGGTCAAGTATTCTCAGCCAGCCTTTGGAGATACGCACGCTAACATCGGCTTTATTCTTTTACACTCTGGGTATGTCCGGACTACCTGCCGAATCGGCGGGTAGTACTCGATCTATCGCGTCTCATCTAGACGTGATATATCGATCCCCGAACGTGCTCCCGTCGACCTGGAACTACACCAGCGCGAGCGGCAGTAGCGCAGTCGATGGGGGAGCTGTGGCCGTAGATCCCGCGCCGTGTGGACCGCAGGTAATTCGATCTAAGAGACGTCGACTTCAGCTACGCTATCCCCGTAGCTGAAGTTGCGTATCTATGGCCTGGTCCACACTAACCCCCTACTTCGGACTAAGGTACGCAAATTCAGCTAGGTTAATAACGTAGCTGAATTCGAAGTACCTTAGTCCGAATTCACCGCATTCGGGGCCCTTTATCTCGCAGTGATTGCCGCAAGCGCGGGACTGAACCCCCGGGAATGGTGGTTCGAAGGCGGGGAGGCTGTAACTGGTCGGGTTGGGGCCACGCGCCCAAACCGGCCGGGACCAGCCGCCCCCTTCCACCGTACCGACACCGCAGCACGCGCAGCCCCCCGCCCAGGGCCGGGCCAGAGACACGCTCGCGGCAACGCACTTCGGGATCCGCGTCAGGCCTGGCGCACACGGACGCGCTCGTGACACGCCAGGGGCCGACAGCCCGCCCGGGGCAGCGCGCGCGCTCCTCCGGATCCCCGCGAGCTCCGCCGGGCGGGGGGGCAGCCTCGCGCAGGCGCTCTTCGAAAGCCGCCCCCCTCCCAGCCAATGTCGCAGGGCGCTGCCAACAGACACCCGCAAAGGGAGGGGGAGCTAATCCCGCTCAATAATCCCTTAGCCATGTGACGACCCTCGGAACGTGAAATAGCACGGCCAGCATGTGTCATATGACAGGGGCGCGTGGCTGGCTACTGAAATCCCATTGGTTGGAACGTGACACGCGGATGCTGAATTCTCATTAGCTGATCGGTGTCTGGTGAAGGAAATAGAGGCACTAATACTTGATTTCGATTGGGTGGCGGTGTCACGTGAGAGGGAATTCTGGGTCCGATGGCGAATGTTTATTGGCTGCAGGTGCGCCATGGTTGAGGTGAGCGCGGCGGGATTGGTCCATGAGTGTCACATGCGAGGGGAGTGACACCGGTCGGAGAGCACGTGTGGAGGAGGCCGGGCCAAGCCGGGGGCAACGTAGCTACTGAATGTGGGGCTGTTTGCTGGGGCTGCGGCTGAAGCTGCATTGCCGCTGGACTCCGCTCCGCCGCGCCATGTCCCGGGGCCCTGCTCTGCCGCGCCGGCCCCAGCCGCCTAAGGACCCTTTGCGGCACCTGCGGGCCCGGGAGAAGCGGTGGAGCTCGGAGTTGGGCGCGCCCGGACCCAGCATCGTCTACGTGCAGGTCGTGGCGGCTGGGAACCGGGACTCGGGCGCCGCGCTCTACGTCTTCTCCGACTACAACCGGTCAGTGCGGGGGCGGCCTGGGTAGCTGCTTGTTGGGCTCTCGCTACCAGGCCGGCCTGGGCCGCCTGCCTTCCCCGCGTCGCTGGCTGCGCCTAACAGCGTCACCGGGAGGCACTGAGGACCCGCTCCCCACCCCACTAAACCGCGGGTGTCGCCCGGCCCCGGCTCTTCCTGCGGGCCATATCCTCGGCACCGTGCCGGTAGCGCTACCTGGCCCTACACCCCTGCTGGGCTGTATCAGACTTAGCCCCTCTAGACCCCCCTGTGGGCAGTTGTAAGCTAACCTGCCCTCAGGTGAAGTGTCCCTGCCCCTGTGGAGGTTGCTGGCTCCCAAAGCAGGACACTACACTAGACCAACCAGGTATCTGCACTGCCCTATCAGTGCTGCAGGATTTATACCCATCCTTGTGCTGAGCTTTCTTCTTAAAGTGGGGCAAAAGTAAACTACTTTTAATATAAAAATGCGATGTTTCCTCTAATAAGAGTTCTAATCTCATTCCAGATATCTCTTTAACTGCGGGGAAGGGCTCCAGCGCCTTATGCAGGAACACAAGTAAGTGTCCTTACTGTGTTCTTAAAGGAAAGAAGCTGTAACGACATACAGGCTGCATTTCAGTTATTCCATAATCCAAACCTTTCTCTTTTCAGGTTAAAAGTAGCTCGTTTAGACAACATCTTTCTGACCAGAATGAACTGGGCGAATGTTGGTGGTTTGTCTGGTAAGTGGGACTGGAGGTGCACACTTTGTAGCTTATTTAGACTGGGTTTATTGCATACAGTAGGGGCTGCTTGCCTCCCTCCATATCCCTATAGCAAGCTCCCTGTGTGCCTCCCTCACAACTCCCGCTATTTCAGGGGCTCCCTGCAGCTCCCACAATCTCCCTCTGGCAGGAGTTCTGGGTGCCCCCACCCCCATACCTGGATCTCCCATTCTCCCCCTATGCAAGGGGCTCTGTGTGTGCCTCCATTTTCCTTTCCCACCATAGCAAGGCCTCTGCATGTGCTCTGTCCCCCATACTGGGTTCTTCCAATCTCCCTCCCACCACAGGTTGTATTACCCCCATTCTCCCCCATGACAGCAGCTCTGTGTGCACGCCCATTGCAGAGGTTCTATGTGCATTCGATTTTCCTCTTTCCCCTGTTGCAGGGTCCCCCAGTCACACCCATTTTTCCCTTCACCCATTCCAGGATCCCCCTTTCTTGCCTTATGACAGGAGTTCTGTATGACCTTCACACACCATTGGTGCACTTTCTCCCTGTAACACATTAATTAAGCTCTATTGGGTGTTTAGGAAGTGATGAAATACTATTAAGCTAAAAAGCATTGAGTGTCATCAGCTGTGGCTCTGCTAAAGAGTTGGTGAGGGCTTCATGTATTTTGTTTTCCCAGTTTTGGTTTTCTGGTTCTTTTCTCCTTCTCTCTTTCCCTCCCCTCCATAAAAAGGGTCCTGCCCACTCACTGATGCCTAGAATATTCCTAGAAGTTTTGGATTTGATCAGATGTGGTGTTCAAACAGAGAGATGTTAGACAGAGAGGAGGCTTTTAAATTGAGCATATGGACTCACAAGCTTGGCCAATTAATAGCTTGGTGGAGTCAGTTATTAAACTGAGTTGCTGCCAGCCTGTACATGTTGGTTTGTTTCCTTATCCAGCACCCAACTGCAATATGGTTTAATCTGTTCTTGTAAGGTAGCTTTCATGCTCGTACCAGACCAACTAAGGTGGTAAATTGTTCTCAAAATGTCATGTCTGTCTAAACTTTCCTACTTTAGTTGCTAGTAGTACCAAAGATCCCCCTAACAGGAAAAGATAGGGGGAAATTGTCTTTCTAATCTGTCAATTTACTTTGCATTTTAGCACTTTGTATATAATCAGATTCTGTTTTCCTTTACTAGTCAATTTCCCTTTTGTTGGTAGGTTTCTTCACCGCAAAGGAGAGCGGAAAGGTGTTTCAGAAGTAAATTATTTAGAGTCCCAATTTTGGGAAATTTACAATTACTTTCCACTACAGCACATTCCTCTAGTGTAATTCTCATCCCTGTAGCACCTGTGTGCCTTCCCAACATTTATGGATTTATCCTCCCAACATCCCTGTGAGGTGGTCCTTGTTTTACAGATGGGGATCTGGGTGCAAAGAGAAATGACTTGCTCAAGGTCACACAAAGCAGAGTCAAGGACTCGACCCAGATCTCCTGAGTCTCAGACCAGGACCTTAATCACAGGGCGTGACATCTCCTTGTGAAGAAAGGTGGAAATTGGACAGATAGTGGAAAGTGAATTACAATCTTTGCTGTGGAGGCACTTCTGGGGGTTTGTGATGAAGGCTGTTTCCAAAGCTGCACTCTCCCTGCTCTCTCTTCCAGGAATGATTCTCACCTTAAAGGAAACGGGGCTCCCAAAGTGTGTTCTCTCAGGGCCACCGCAGCTGGTGAGTAGCTGTTTTCTTTGGAAAGTGGGGACCCTCTTTTTAAGAGTCCCAGACCTTAGCCTGTGAGTGAAGAGCTGTTGCTAGGTGCTGAGTGACCTTGTAAAATGCTCCTTCTGTGAGGTGTTGCTCTAACTGAAGAAGCACCACCCTGTAATTGTTTGGTTCTGCTTTTGGGGCTGTCTTCACAGTGTGTACAGCTCGCTTGTGAGTTGCACCGATTGAAAACAGCTCGAGGCAGCAGCAAACTGCTGCCACTTGTCTGCTAATGGCTCACTAGTAGATGGAACAGCCCTTCACCTGTCTCCCTAAACAATATGATGGGGCAGTTCTTCTGGATGTGCCTTTTTAAAGCAGCGATTAGAGGTCTCTGCAAGTATCTTAACAAGTTCTAAATCTGCTGTGCTGGCAGGAGGCACTGGCTACATAGATCCAATGCTGGTCTCAGTATCTGGGCTGTTGGTTCCTTTTGTCAGCATTGAATTTTTCTTACAGTATCTATGGGTATTTAGTGATTGTCCACTCGTCGGGATGCTCTTCTCTTTGACCTTCATATTCTTTTTTCTAACCCCTGTCCCAAAAAGAAAGCGCTTGCTAGGTGGGAGAACTCGCTAGAGATCTCTGGCCAGCTTGTTCATTCTGCAGCTGTTAGGACCATATGTCAGTTCCAGGGAGACACTGTCCTAAACTAATGTACAAAACTGAATGTACTTCTGTGGCGGATTAATATAGTAAGAAGAAATATAGTGTCCATTTTTCTCTCTGTAGTAGAAAGAGCGAGCCTGGGGCATGGTGTCAGGCTCTGTTACAAAGCAGATTCACTGTCAGGTACATAAACTCGGTGAGAACATGGCTGATTTTTGCAAAAACACAAAACACTCCTAAGAAGTGCAAAGCACTGGATACTTGCATGAACACATTCCAGAAGGATGGTGCCAGAACACACCAATACCCCAAGTTAGGTATAAACACGCTCCCCGAAGATGATACAGGGACATACTGACTTCTCTTAAAGATGAACAGAGATATTTTGGTGAAACTAACAGGTACAAGGTATAGGGTGGGGTCCACTTTTTTTTTTTCTCCTGGCTCGAGTTGAGCTTATGAGCTTCTCTGCACCTGAGAGAGAATCTTATTTCATTAGATGTGAACCTTTGCTTGAAAAAGTTACCTAATCTGAGTAATAAGCAGGCAATGACCTCTTTAAGTGGTGATTTTTCACCTTCTTGTCTTATTTTTTTAATTTTTTTTTTCAGCGAAACTACCTGGAAGCTATCAAAGTGTTTTCTGGGCCACTGAAAGGAATAGACCTGGGTATGTACAGCACTCATCCGTGTGCACTTACTGTCTCCAATGTCTACACCTTACTGTTGCATGTGTGTCTGTCCGAACAGCAGCCTTGCGATGTGCAAGGTATTAAAGGAGCTCTCAAGGATGACGAGGCCATTGCAGAGAAGCTAAATGAATTCATTTAATCAATCTTCGCTGCAGAGGATGTGGGGGAGATACCCACATCACAGCTGTCCCACACTGATCATACTATCCTAGGACTGGAAGGGACGTCGAGAGAGCATCTAGTCCAGTCCTCTGCACTAATGGCAGGATTAAGTATTATCCAGATCATCCCTGACAGGTGTTTGTCTAACCTGCTCTTAAAAATCTTCAATGACGGAGATTCCACAACATCCCTGGGCAGTTTATTCCACTGCTTCACTACCCTGATGGGAAGTTTTTCCTAAGGTCCAACCAAAACCACCCTTGCTGTAATTTAAGACCATTGCTTCTTAAATGCCTCAGTAGAAGAGGTTTTAGAAAAAAATTAGTTTAATTGATCAGTCACCAGGAGCAGAGGGTTTCACCCAAGAGTTCTGAAGGAACTCAAATGTGAAATGGCACTACTAATTAGTATATAACCTATTCCTGAAACAAGCCTCTGTACCTGATGACTGGAAGGTAGCTAATGTAACGCTGACTCCAGAGGTGATCCTGGCAATTACAAGCCGGTAAGCCTAACTTCAGTATTGGGGCAAATTGGCAGAAACTATAGTAAAGAACAGAATGATCAGACCGATAAATAAACATGATTTGTTGGGAAAGAGTCAATATGGCTCTTGTAAAAGGAAATAATGCCTCACCAATCTAATAGAATTCTCTGAGGGGGTCAGCAAACATGTGGCCTAGGATGATGCTGACAGTACAGAAAGCCTTTGATGGTATCCCTCTCTAATGGCTCTTAAGGAAAACAAGCAGTCATGGGATAAGAGGGAGGGTCATCTCATGGATCAGTAACTTCTTAAAAGATAAGGAACACAGGGTAGGAATAAATGGTCACTTTACATAATGAAGTGAGGTCAACAGCAAGGTCCCCCAAGGTCTGTATTGGGACCTGTTCTGTTCACTGTCCACTCCTTTCCAGATCATTTATGATTATGTTGAAGTGGCAAGGATTGCTGCTGATACAAAAATATTCAAGATAGTTAAGGCCAAAGCTGGCTGTGGAGCGTTACGGGGGATCTCACTAAACAGGGTGACTGGGCAACACAATGACAATGAAATTCAGGGTTGATAAGCGCAAAGTAATGAACATTGCGGAAAAAATAATCCTAACTGCACGCGTACAGCTATGGGTTCTAAATTATCTGTGACCACTCAAAGATTTTCTGAAAATTTTAGCTCAATGTCCAGTAGCAGTCAAAAAGTTCCTAACATACTTCGCCTATTAGGAAGAGGTTAGAAAATAAAACAGAAAACATCATAAAGCTACTGTATAAAATCCATGGTGCACCCACATCTTGAATACTGTGTCCAGTTCTGTTGCTGCATCTCAAAAGTATATAGTGCAACTGGAAAAGGTTTTGAAAAGGGCAACAAAGATGATCGAGGGTATGGATCGGCTCCCATAGGAGGAGGAGAATAAAAAGATTAGGGCTGTTGTGCTTACAAAAGACTATTAAGGAGGGTTACGATAGAGGTCTACATAATCATGAATGGTATGGAAAAAGTGAATAGAGAAGTGTTTTTTATCCTTTCCCACAATACAAAATACAGGGGTCACCAAATTACATTAATAGGCAGCTGATTTAATACAAAGAAGAGGAAGTATTTTTTTTTTCCATACAGCACACAATTAACCTTTGAAACTCATTGCTAGAGGATGTAGTGATGGCCAAAAGTATAACTAGGTTTAAAAAAAGACAGCCAAAATGGTCAGGGATGCAACCCCATGTTTGGTGCAACCCTAAACTGACTACCAGAAGCTAGGAGGAGACTGGGTGCATCACTCAACTGTAGCTCTGGGACTTGCCACTGTTAGAGACACGATAAAGGGCTAGATGGACCATTTGTCTGACCCATTATGGCTGTTCCTGTGCTCTTATGAGGCAAAGCTCCAAGCTGTAGCCACCGCAGCCTCTGAGAAATGGAAAGAGAATGAGTTCGTCCAACTGTTTATTTTGGCATCCCTCTGGAGTCTGGTTTCCAAGCTGCTTCAGGTGACAAAATGGAGATGCACTTAGTTTCCCTGCATATCAGAAAACACAGAAGTCACTGTAATGCTTGGTTGTCTTGGCACCTCATTTTCCAGGACCAGGAACGCATTGGTAATGTCTTGATAAGAACTTAGTTTTAAAAGAAAGCACCAAGCTGTCTGGCTCAGGGATTGAGAATGGGCAACAGATCCTATCCCATCTAAAAAAAGAACAGGAGTACTTGTGGCACCTTAGAGACTAACAAATTTATTAGAGCATAAGCTTTCGTGGGCTACAGCCCACGAAAGCTTATGCTCTAATAAATTTGTTAGTCTCTAAGGTGCCACAAGTACTCCTGTTCTTTTTGCGGATACAGACTAACATGGCTGCTACTCTGAAATCTGTATCCCATCTAAGTCACTGGCTCAAACCCAGCATGCTGTTCAGTGACCTGTGTGAAATGAAGCGTTTCCAGTCCACTTCCTGGTAGACAGCTCTCTATGTATCTCACACTATCACAGCTCTCATTGTTGGGCATCTTTGGAAACTGAAGGCCAAGGGTTGACTGGGCCCAAAGAGTAATCGCTTCCTTACTCTTGCTATGGGGTAGCTCCTCCAGGGGAGGGGAGGGGAGAGAAGAATACAACACATGAATTGCCATAATGGATCAGCTGTTGGTCTGACTAGTGCGTTAACTTGTCTGTGACAAAGGCCAATGCCAGACTCTTCAGAGGAAGGTGCACAAAACCACCTGGACAACTACAGAAAAACTAACTTGCATGTAGGGGAAGCTCAATGGCTGGCTTATGCCCTGATGCCAGAGGATTTACATCCCTTCAGTTGTATTAATTTCCAGGACCAACCTCATCACCTTTTTAAAAACAATAAGTGATGGCATTTGTCCCCCTCCCATCTTCTAATGCAGTAATTGATTTAATGAGCGATCACATAGCTACCTTAGCAGCAAAGGTATGTGTGTGCCCGAGGTCCTGTGCCTGTGCTGCTGGGATTTCTCCATTCTTGTGAGCAGGCAGTTGATTTAAATGGAGCATCATTTCTGAGCTATAACATACTGAGCAGGTTTCTTGCACTGCCCTGCCCAGTTGTGGTGGGGGGGAATGCAATGCAGATTTCCACTATTGGTTTGGATACAGACTTGTGACAGATCCACTCCTGATCCCATTGCTGTTAATTCATTACATATGTTACAAACTCAGGTACAACTTCCTAATGTATTATGTGAAGTAAATAAGATGTCTGATTATAATCAACCTTTTGGTGCTGCAGTGTAGCATTTGCCATCTACTGACTTCATACCAAAAGCAACTTGCAATTATGTGAGTGCTTGTTTTATTCTTCAGAGTGTAAGTAGCGATTCATAAATATATAATACCTCTGCTATCTACAGAGTCAGATGTAGGGCTGCCCCTGCTTTAAGCACCGCCTTGGGATTGTATAAAGGCAGAATGGAAACTTGTAAAAAGAACAGAGGCCACAGAAACCCTGGCCTGTTCAGAGATGTGCAGGGATGAATTGTTTTAATCTCTGCTACTTAGAGCAGTTGTGAGTATAATTGCTTTCTCTTGAAGTCATATATATATTTGTCTCTGTAGTAGTGGAGAATTTCAGCATCTGGCCTGAGGAAACTGCCTGATGAGTAGCTCCTGTGAGATGCATGCTCCTGAATGCGTTTGTTAAAACGTGTCTCTAATTTCCAGGCTGCTTTATCAACAATCCTGGAGTCTGAGGCATCTGTTTGTAGTAACTGGTTAATACTTGCTTTGGAGGGGTTAATAGCCATGCTGATGTCTAATGTTTTAACTATCTTGTTGCTAGTTGTGCGGCCACATACAGAGCCCGAGTATAAGGATGAGACGATGACCGTCTATCAAGTACCTCTTGTGGGTGAGTATGGACTTCGGATTGGAATGGTAGGAAGCAAAGGGTATCTGGAGCTGCAGTTGGAGAAGGAGGAGCAGGGTTACTTGTTGCAGTAAGAGCTTCCTTGAACTGGTTATGGTATCTGGTTACTGTTTGTAAACCTGAAACATAGTAACTATAGGTTGTGTTAGGTTACTTCTGCTGTGGTGAGAATGTAGCTTTCAAAGAAACCTGAGCCGGTGCCGGACCTTAGGGTAAAAGGATGCTGCCTCCTCTAAGAACTCTGGTATTTTCCTTCAGGTGATAGTCCATGGAAGAGACATGGGAAGTTACTGTGAATCATACTTCCTTAACTGGCTTTCCATGTTATTCGGTACACTCGTACAAGCTGCTGTACTCAGAGCACATGCTTGAGTTCGATAAGGTTTTGTTGCTTTTGGAGAATCTGCTGAGGAGAGCTCTTGGAATGAGTGAAGTGCAATATGGAGAAACAAGGAAGCAGGCTCTCTTGTCCCTTTTTAAACTGCTCAGGGCATTTTGAAGAAACTTTTTGAGTAAGACTCCATTTGTGTGTTCTCATTCCTGCCTCCTGAACAAGCCTGTTTTTTTCCCTTGGGTTTGGAACAGGAAGGCATTTAGCCAGTGAGCACAGGCTGCATCAGAGTCCTGAAAGGTCAGTCCATGGTGGAGTCAGCCGCAAATATGCCCCAGAGCCTGGATCTCCCACCGCTGAGCAGCAGTGTCCAGAAGGTGACAAGAATAGAGAAGCCCCGAAGAAAACAGGTGCAGGAACTTGTATTTTCTTAGTGTAATTGGAACAAAAACTCTAAAATGTTGGTGTAATTTCTCTCCTACACAAATATTCTTAGTGCAGATAAGAAAGTGCTGGTCCTCTCTGCTGAAATATTGCTTAGGGGTAATTTGAGCATACGGAGAACATGAGGCAAAACAAGATCCAGTGGTTGGATGCTGAAGCTAGACTAATTCAAACTAGAAATGAGACAGATTTTTTTTTTTTTTTTTTTTTTTTAACACTGATGGTAATTAACCATTGGAACAAATTACCTTGGTACCAGGTGGATTCTCTGTTCCCTCAAATTGTGAAATCAAGACTGGATGTCTTTCAGATGTTTTGGATTTGATGGAGGAATTACTGGGTTGTAATTCTATACAACAGGTTAGACTAAGATGATTGTAATGGTCACTTATGGCTAAGGCTGCATCTCTGTCACGGAGGTTGTGGAAGTCACGGATTCCATGACTTTCCACAACCTCCATGGTTTCTGCAGCAGCCAGTGTGGGGCTCAAGCAGCCCTGCAATCAGCCGCTGCTTGGGTGGCCCTGGGCAGCTAAGATTGTCAGGGGTATTTATAGCAAAGGTCATGCACAGGTCACGGCCTGTGGATTTTTTTTGTTTATTGCCCATGAACTGTCCGTGAGTCTTACTAAAAATACTCATGACTAAATCCTAGCCTTACTTATGGCCCTTGTGTATTAAACCTTTGGAAGGGACGGGACACTGCAAGAAGTTGGCACCTTTTGCTTAAAGGAAAAAGGATGATATAGTTTCAGCATCAATGAACTTTTTTTTTCTTTTTCTTTTTTTAAAGATGGCAACAGGAGAGTTGGCAGCAGAGACCCGACCCTGGTGGTGGCTTTCATCTGTAAAGTAAGAAATATCATATGGAATAGGAGTTCCTGCGTTCTTTTATCTAGGCCAGTTTAATTACAAATACCACCACCTAGCAGGGTAGGGTTTTTTGGACATTTATTCTATGCCAACCTTTGTATCCAGTAACACTGCACTCAAATCTAGCAATTGAGAATTGGGGGGGGGGGGTTTGGAATGCAGTCTGGTGCTTCACATTTAGAAGTGACCTACAAAAGGAAAAGCTTTTTTAATTTGCTGCTTCATCAAAGCTAGAAAGATTTTTATTTCTGCTTGTCTATTACCCTACAAATTCAGGTCTTGTCTACCCTGCTCTTTCTAGAAGACTCTGGGCAACTGAAGAACTAGTGGGGTTATGAGACTGGACGTATAACAGCAATGAAAGCTCATGGAGAATAGAAAGACTTCTAGTTGCTGTTTAAAATACTTTGGGTAGCGCTTTATTTTTGTAACACTTCTGTAAGTCAGCTACTGAACTCTCAAAAGAGAATCTTAGACTCTCCACCTCTACAAGTTGGAGCTCCAGATCCATACCTATGGGCAGATCAGCCACTGAAGCAGGGCAGAGAGGACTTGATGTGCCAGAGACTTAAAATAAATAAATAAATTCCTGAGGAAAATCTCTCCTGCAGTCCCTCTTCATGGCTCATTTCAGAGCTAGTAAGGGCATGAACCCCATTTTTGCCCCTTTCCCTTTTCCATCCATGTTTAAACATTGTAAAGAGTTGGTGACTTGTTACATGAGAACTTTGAGAAACACTTCTTTCTTTTAAATTATTTTCAGCTTCACCCAAAGAAGGGAAACTTCTTGGTGGCCAAAGCAAAGGAGCTGGGCCTGCCAGTGTAAGTACGAGAGCCCTGCCTGTGTGCTTAGAAGGTGGGAGGATCCTGGTCGTATGCACGCTGTCAATCTAATGCTGTCTCTGTGTTCTCATCCTTAGTGGGACAGCAGCCATTGGCCCCATCATTGCGGCTCTCAAAGATGGGAAGAGTGTCACGTTCGAAGGCAGAGAGGTATGACTGCACTCTAGGCTATCTCAGTTGTGCTGCATGCTGGGTTTGTAACCAGTGCTGCTCGTGGGACCCATCTCATCCAGAACATTGTAGTAACTAAATGCTGCTCATACGCCAACCACAATCATCCCCTCTCTTGGATCCGAAGGGATTGCAGCTGTAACCAGTCCAGTCCTCTCATTGCTCCTGTTGCGTGGTAGGATTGACTGAACTGTCCCTGAACCATGCCTCTTAGTGGCAAGTGCCAGTCTTGCATGTTTCCTTGGATTCCATAACCTTCCTTGGCAGCTTGTTTCAATTTTAAGCTTTCCCAGGCTCATTCCTTCTGTAATGGGTTGTCCCAGGGTGCCTGTCACTGCAGATGAGATCCGTTCAGTATCTGCCATCACAGGAGAAGGGTTGGTGATACACACGGAAATGACCATGTATCCCATGCCAACAGTGGGGTGTTTTGTTTCTCAGCTTCAATGGCTGGCCCAGTTATAGTGATTTGAGTCTGACAGCCTGTGAGCTAACAAAGCTGGTCCGTTAGCTCAGGCAGTAGAGGCGTTTATGCTTTCAGACCCAGAGGGAGTGCCCACATCTGACCCACTATAAGCAGGGTTCCCCACTCACTGATTACACTCGTTCATTATCCTGTCACACCCCCTACAGGTGGTTAAAAGGCTCTGATGTTGGGGGCCAGATAAAGACTTTAATCTCCAAGGCTAGTAGCTGGTGAGCAGGAGAGACCCTAACCATGAGTGATTCTGGTGGATCCATAAATAAAATCACTGCCAGGAGATACGAGTGAGGGACAACTGGCCCTGCTCCCCAAAGGAGCTCACGGGAGCATGCCCCAGTGCACAGAGGGAAAGCGGCTGAACTTTCCTCAGCTGCAGCTGAGACGCTTCTTGCTTTGTTGAGGCCATTGTCAGGGCTCCATTGGGCCATGTGACCCAGCAAAATCAATGAGAGAGGAGGAGAGAAAATGGCTCCAGTGCCAGAATGGTAACTGGAGCACGAGTCCTTGGACTCGCTGACCATTGAGCATGCCCTGGCACCCAACTGATGAGCAAGCAAGTTCTGTGAGGTCCCCAGCTGGCTGTGGAAGAGCAGTGAAGTTGGGCAGCGTGTGCTGGGCAGCATGTGCTGTTGGTTATGTTGCCAAAAGGGAGCTGCATACTCGGGCATGTTCAGGCAGCATGTACCATGGGCCGTCGACCATGGCGTAACCCTTGGGTGCTTCATTGCAGATCCTGCCCGAAGAGGTCTGTACCCCTCCTGATCCAGGCCCTGTGTTCATTGTAGTGGAATGTCCTCATGAAGGCTTTGTGGATGCCGTCTGTGAAAATGACACGTTCCGCAGGTATAGTGAGGTTGGAGGAAGGGAAGGATGCTCCCTGAAATACAGGGTTGGTGCGGGAGCGGGTATCCGGCTTGAGCACTTCTTTATGAAAACGAAAAATCTCCTGTTAGCCTGGTTACAAATGGAATCTGACACGCTTCGTGGGCTAATGCCAGAGCCACAGACAGCAAAGTCATCCTGAATGACCTGGTTAAGGAAACCTGCAGGTAGTGCTCCGAGACATAGAGCCACCAAAAAAGGATCCACAGAGGCACAGAAGTTGGAGTATGAGAGGCCGGGGTGTGCTCTGTGCAGGGCGCTTGACTCTAGAACTCGCTTCCCCAGGGCTTGGAGTAGCCTGGATTTGTTACCTTCAGGGCACCTTGCAAGGCCCATCTTCCTTGGGAGAGGGAGCTTTTGGGGGAGGGGAGGAAGGTCTTTATTTCTCTCTGGTGCACTTAGTAATTTACTATATTTTGTGAGGTTGCCACTATCTTAGTTTTAAATAGTCACGTGACTGGACTGCACCTTTTAATGGGTTCTTACATCTAAGTAGCTGAGGGTTCAAAGGTCTTTGCATACGGTGATCTTACCCATGTTCAGTCTGGATCTCACCCCAGAATGTGTGAAGTTATCTCTTACCCCATAACTCTTAAGTGCCTTAATGCTTCACTACTGTAGTTGTCTGTCTGGGATGCCCACAGTTAGCAACAAGCATGCACTTGGTCTATGTACTGAGCAGCCCTGGCCCAACACTTGGGATCTAGGAGCCTACCAGCAACATCAGATTTCTACTGGTCTCCACCAGCCTTGGTTAATAACTGGTAAGGTGACTCCACACACTCTCCAACCCCACATTTCTGCAAAAAGTGTTCTGAAATGTCCAGCCCTGTCCTGGAATCATCAGAGGAAGGTTAAGGTTTGTTGCTCCTTTAAAGAGTCAATATCTAGCAGTTTGTTGCTGTAACTGGAGTTACCGAACAGTTCAGTTCAAACACAGCACTAGATTGGTTTAAATTAAGTTCATTGAATTCCAGAGAGATTTGAACTGAGCATAAGGATTAAAGTTTGAAATGGTTACAAGAGAGATAAAAACACTTTCTTGACACTAAAATCTAACAGATTAGACTGGGTTCAAGGTAAAATCCCCTCAGCATGTTTCCATCAATATCACTGATCAAGCTCCTGGCTTAGGATCTATCCTCCAAAGTCAAAAGGCTGGTACCTTTGTTGTTTTAGGCTGATAATTTGGGATTCTGTATCCTTCTCTTCTGTAATCCGTTGAATCTTTGAGATGATTCTTCTGAACTTATCTCCAGATAAGTCAGTTTCCAGTTGAGGGGTAGGGAGCATGGAGTCTGTCTTGCAGGAAGTGTCCTGCTGCTTTCCCCACTGGGGTTATCTGCCAAAACGCACAATACTCCAGTTGAGGCCTAATCAGCACGGAGGAGAGCAGAAGAATTACTTCTAGGGTCTTGCTTACAACATTACTGGTAATGTTCGCTTTTTTTGCAGCGGTGTTACGCTATTGACTCATATTTAGCTTGTGATCTCCTATAGCGCCCCCTCCCTCCCCCCGATCCCTTTCTGCAGTATTCCTTCCTAGGCAGTCATTTACCATTTTGTGTGTGTGCAACTGATTGCTCCTTCCTAAGTGGAGTACTTTGCATTTGTCCTTATTGAATTTCATCCTATTTACTTCAGACCATTTCTCCACTTTGTCCAGATCCTTTTGAATTTTAGTCCTATCCTACAAAGCACTTGCAACCCCTCCCAGCTTGGTATTGTCCGCTGTCTTTTTTTTTAAGTGTACACTCTATAATTATCGAAATCATTTAAGAACATAAGAACGGCCATACTGGGTCAGACCAAAGGTCCATCTAATCCAGTATCCTGTTTTCCGACAGTGGCCAAAGCCAGGTGCTTCAGAGGGAATGAACAGATAATCAAGTGATCCATCCCCTGTCGCCCATTCCCAGCTTCTGGCAGACAGAGGCTATTGATGCCATCCCTGCCCATCCTGGCTAGTATGGAAGATATTAACCAGAACTGGCCCTGAACTGATCCCTGCGGGACCCCACCTGATATGCCCTTCCAGCTGGACTGTGAACCACAGATAACTGATTGGAAAGCCATACCCAGAGAGTAGTTATGCCCCCAGCTGATAGTAGCTCCATCTAAGTTGTATATCCCTAGTTGTCTATGAGAAGGTTATATTAGACAGTATCAAAAACCTTACTAAAGTCAAGATATACCACATCTACTGCTTAACCTCTTCTCCCCTCTCCCCCAAGCTACAAGGCTTGTTACCTGTTGAAGAAAACTATCAGGTTGGTTTGACACAGTTTGTTCTTAACAAATCCATGCTGACTATTACTTATCACCTTATTATCTTCTAGTTTGCAAATTGATTATTCCATTCTTTCCAGTTACCGAAGTTAGTCTGACTGGTCTGTAATTCCTTGGGTTGTCCTCTCACACACTTTTTTTTTTTTTTTAATTGGCACTATATTTGGTCTTTTCCTGACCTGTGGAACCTCACACATCTTACATGACTTTTCAGAGATAATCACTAATGGCTCAGATATCTCCTCAGTCAGCTCCTTGAGTATTCTAGGATGTATTTCATCAGGCCCTGGTGACTTGAAGATCTCCAACTTGTCTAGGTCATTTTTAACTTGTTCTTTCCTTATCCTAAATGATGCCTCTTATCTTGCCTCATTTTTACTGGCATTCACGATGTTAGATGTCCAATTGCTACTAAACTTTTTGGTGAAAACTGAGACACAGTTGTTTAGGACTTCTGCCATGTCCACATTTTCTGTTATTGTCTTTTCCCCACTCACTGAGTAACGGGCCTACCCTGTCCTTGGCCTCCCTCTTGCTTGTGAGGAATTGTCCCTTGTATAGATGGAAGCAGTGGGATCAGAGGCCCAAGGCCACTGTGGATCTTGGCGAGTGTGGAGTAGAACCCAGAACTCCTTGACTCTCAGATCTGAGCTTTAACCTCTCTGCTAGGCTTCCTGGAGGAAATCGTTTATGCTCTATGGTGTCCTTGGTAGTAAATAGATTCTGGAGAGCAGCCTTGTCATCTTAGGTGAGGAGGTGAGATCTCTGTGTAATAGGAGCCAAGCTTGTTGTCATCTTTGATCTTAAATGTCTATTCTAGGTACCAAGAAGGGAAGGCTGAGGGTCACGTGGCCTTGGTTATTCACATCACCCCAGAGTCAGTGCTTCGAGACAGCCGGTACAAACAGTGGCTGGAAAGGTACATGGCTTTTATTTATTTACGTTGACTTAAAATAACCTTGAAGGAAGCATAACCCACAAACTCAGTGATCCCAGACTGGCTAATAACAGCCATGGGTCAGGGCATGTATCGGCTCAGAGAGCAGTGGTTAGTTAACGGCATCAGGTGCCCGGCAGTGGATTGGAGCTGAAGTTGTCTTGTATCTGGACACGTATCTTACTATTCCTTCTTTCTTTCTCCAGGTTTGGACCCACAACTGAACACTTGATACTTAATGAAAATGCAAACACTGTGCACTGTCTCCGCAGCCACAAGATTCAAACCCAGCTGAACCTCATTCACTCAGAAATCTTCCCACTGCTAACCAGCTACCAGAGTCGGGTAAGAGGCTGCGCCTGGCTGCAGGTGTCTGCAGAGGCGAGCTTGTGCACGCTTACATGTTGCTCCTTCTGTCTCCTCTCCAGGAAGAAGAGGCCACTTTCAGCGTTCCTGTTGTGCGGGGAGAGTGCCTCCTGAGATACCAGCTGAGACCCAAACCGCAGTGGCAGAGGTTGGTACCCTCGGTTATATATAAACTGAAGAGAGACCTGGCCTCCTGCCTTGGGGGGCACCTGCATGGGTGCAGAAGTCATTTTAGAAGATCAGATGATGAGCTGAGATTAAGGAGCATTCAGCATCTAAATAGTGGTGGTGCAGCAAAGGTGGCTTGAAGTCACCTTTGCACTCTGATTCTGGGCCAGTCTGTGCAGGACCAGAACCCTGGAGAAACTTTGAACAGCTAGTTGTGGTGTTGGGGTGGGTGTGGGTGTGGGTGTGTGTGTGTTTGTTTGGATGTGGAGGGGGGGTTGCATTGTGGGGTCCCCAAAGAAATCCAAGGGTCCCGTTTTGTTGAATGCTGCACAAATCTCTACTAAGACTCTGTGCTCCAGAGCACTTAGACTCTATGTTTGACTGGACCTGTAGGTGAAATGTACAAGTGGATGCCTAAATGTATGTCTTCTGTCATAGAGATTTCATATTTTTTAAGGCAAGAAGGAATCATTAGATCTAATCCAATGGTTCTCAATGTTTCCAGACTACTGTACCTCTTTCACGAGTCTGATTTGTCTTGCATAGCCCATGGCTCACCTCACTTTAAAAACAGCTTGCTTACAAAATCAGACATAAAAATAGAAAAGTGTCAGAGCACACTTACTGAAAAATTGCTGACTTTCTTATTTTTACCATATAATTATAAAATAAGCCAACTGGAATAGAAATATCTCACTTACATTTCAGTGTGTAGAGCAGGATAAACAAGCCGTTGTCTGTATGAAATTTTAGTTTGTACTGACTTAGTTAGTGCTTTTTATGTAGCCTGTTGTAAAACTAGGCAAATACCTAGATGAGTTGATTGTATGCCCAGAAGACCTCTGCGTGCCCTCGGGGATATGCATACCCCTGGTTGAGAACCACTGATCTAGTCCGACCTGTATATCACAGGCCATTACATTACACTCTGTTACCCCTGTATCAAATCCCATGGCTTGTGTTAGACTAAAGCATTTGTCCTCCGGATACTAAATGGTGGTGTGCCCAAGGCCGAGAACAGGAGAGACCTAGGGGGTACCAATGCCCAAGACCCCTGCAATGTCAAGGAACTGATTAGGGAAGACCTGCCCAGATCCCAGCAGGTGAGAGAGGCCCCATGCTGCAGAAGGGAAAACACACACTGTTGTACCTGCTAGTCTGATGGGGAAGGGGGGACAGAATTCCTTCCAAACCCCACATTGTTACGACCCTGAGTGTGAGCAAGACCAGCCAGCCATCTAAGAAAGGTCTGTGTACCACTGGTCCTCCCTGTCCAGTGTCCTGTCTCCAGCTGTGGCTGATGGCTTCAGAGGAAGAGGGAAGTCTCAAATTCAGTTGTGAGGAAGGGGAATGGATTCTGTTTAAACATTTAGGCTTCACTCTACCTGCGCGTGATAACAGTCCTGAAACCTTGTCAGGATATTCCTGACCATGCAAGAAGATTGGCTCTGAAACTAGTATGGGTGAGTGAAGTTTTCAGCACATGGTGCCATACGCTGCCCCTGAGCTGTGCAGGACTCGCTGGGACCCAGTGCACTATGTAGCCCTTAAATCCTGAGGTCATGCAATGATTCCCTCTTGCTGGAGTTAGTTACCCATTTCCAAGAGCCCATGCGCCTCCTGCAGTCTGCTGGCAATCCTGGATATGAGGAGTTTTACTGCCCTCTGGATGGTAGTTTCAAAGCAGGCACATCTGGGGACTGTTAAGGAAACTTTCATACTAGGCTAGTATCTAAGCAGTAATTTGACACTTTGCCCCATAAATTAAACTCTTCAGCTGTCCCCTCCCTCCCCAGCCACATGCTGATCTGTGGCCTGTGGATCCTTTCAGGGATGTGGTTGCTGTCTGCAATTCCAGTGAATTTGTGGCTGAAGCCCTGAAGCTCCCTGGCTTCCAGGACCGTGTGAAGGAGTGCAGAGAGAGCCTGCAGGCTGGGCCAGTCAGGTCAGGTGAGGAGAGTGTGCAGGGTCCTTTGATTGGAGTAGCAGATAGGTCTGCTTGACCGGGAAGGTGGGTTGAGTTGTTGGATAGAAACAAACTGGGGACTTGAGTTCTAAGGGAATGCTGTCCAGGCGAAATATTCCCATCACCCTGCAAGCTAATGAACTCGGCGTATTGTTAGGGTCGCTTTGAGTGCCCAGCAGAGCATGGGATGGGCTCATTCCCACTTGTTCTTTGCAAACTGGCTTGTGCCATGTTGAGTGACATTCTTAGCTCTAGAGGGTGCTGGGTTTGGGGCTCCAGCACTGCGGGGGGTGGGGGGGTAAATCAACAAAACCCCAGCATTGCATTCTACTGCAGTGCTCTGCTCAACACTGGTTGCTTTGGGTTTTTAAAATTGTGATCCCAAATGGTCAGTGTTCCTCTAACATGCTGCCCGTGTGGTGGAGTATGGGAAAAGCAGCATCTAATCCACAGCTGGCTCCCTCTAGAGCCCAGCTCTGGTCATCTGGCTATGCACGGATGCCACTGTGTGTGACACGGGGCAGTGAATCAACATCTAAATCATGACAGCAGGAAAAGCCAGCACAGCCTGTCCGCAATCCTGCCGTGAGGGCCACGTCCCTTCTCATTGGATGGCAGTGTATGTCTGTCACTACCAAGCCAAGTCCTGACTCGCCTGCCTCCATTCTGGGTGGACATGCAGCAAGGTGTCCTGCTATCATTTTAGAAGACTTTGTCCCTTTTCCCCATCCCCACTCCATTAGCATTGATGCTGTGGTGAGCTTGGAGGCTAGGGGTCAAGACCCAGTTGGACAAGCTGACTAACCTGAGGCAGGATCTGGAGATCTTATGCTTAAATATTGAACTTCTAACCTGGCTGGGAGCTGATCATACCACAATGCAGCGGGCTCTTGCCAGCGTTAATGCAAAGCATGTTATATATTTTCTCTAGGTAAAACTGAGAATTACCCAGAAATCGTTTTCCTAGGAACAGGCTCTGCAATTCCAATGAAAATCCGGAACGTCAGCTCCACCCTGATAAATAGCAGGTAAATGCTAGCACTCTGTACTTTTCCCCTCCAGTACATGTGGAATCGCCAGGGGCGGGAAGAGGTTTGTCATGTGGATGGCTATACAGATGTGCCAGCATACTGAATGTGTGCCTCACTTGGCGTTCATGGACCTATTAAACTTGCAGATGCTGAAGGGATTGGGGATGGGCCTGGGAATGTTGAACCTTGGTCACTAGTCCAAACGTACTCAAGATTCTCATTGTAGAAGGGCAAAGTGCTTCCCACAGGTGGTCTTGTGACTGCCTTCACAGGGCCTGTTAGGACCACCACTCTGCTTGACATCAGGTGTCCCCATTCCTGTCTGCATCAGGTCAGAGAACAAGAGCTGAAGCCGCTATGGAGACTGAACTCTCAAAGTTGGCCCCTCCAGGTCCTTTCTACAGAGAGACAGCACTAGTGGCAGAAATGCTGTTTGCTGCCTTTCCAGATCACACCTTGAGCTGGCGTGCTGGGCAGCATTCATTTGTTGTCATCCATTCTGGTTACTGCCAGCAATACACCCGCTCTTTCCTCTCACCAGCTCTACCCAGGCACTGCTCCTGGACTGTGGGGAGGGAACGTTTGGCCAGCTCTGTCGCCACTATGGGGACCAGGTGGACAAAATCCTGTGCAACATAGCAGCTGTGTTTGTCTCTCACATCCATGCCGATCATCACACAGTGAGTATCGCTGGTGGGGGACAGAGTTAGAGAAGGCGAGTTCCCAGCTGGGTGTGGGCTGTATCCACTTCAGCGGTGGCTCTTGTCACAGAAAGTTCTGTTGTGTGCTGCTCATTTTCTCCTGTGAATGTTTCACTCCTGCTTGGCTCTGTAACCATTCCAGTCTCTCCATCAAATGTCCTGCCCTGTTCCGCTCCATGCAATTCTGTTGCTCCTGTTTTTAGATGTTCCTGGAATTAATATTGGTTGTAGCCTCCCAGCTGTATCTCATAAGCTGTTCTTCTGACTGTGGAATTCCCCAAGCCTTGCTGAATTCTGCTCTGCTACTAATCCTGTCTCTTCCTATTACTGGTCCCTGCAAGTCTGGGTTCAGGCATGTTGCTGGGGCTGGGTGAATAAACTTGGATTTTTGCGGTACCTGTTTCTGGGGGTTCTTGAGCTCCCAGGGGTATAAATTCAGCACTCTTCACTGCTTGGAATGTGCTTTCACAAGAAGCTTCAGCAAACTAGCAGGCTCCCTGTTTCATGCTGGCTTGATCCAGGCAGGCTGCGTTTCATGCCCCGATAGCTTGCACTTTACAGAAGGGCTTCCCTTTCTCCAAGGGTTGTGGGGAAAGGGGCAGCTGCATCCTTGGCAGAATCTGGGTAAGGTCTTATATCAAGTACTTTAGTGGTTTGTCACTAGCTCTTCAGAACCAGCGGGTGTTGGATCTGAGTGTTCTCTGCTGCTCGCTAACACCGCCATGGCACAGAACTCAGAAAGGAGATTAGGGTCTTCTCCTTCCTGGCTGACATTGCCTCAGCTGCAGTGTTTCTCCTCCCCATGCCCTCTCACCCCCACCCCACCCCCAGTCTTTATAAGGATTGTAGCTTTCAGACATGAGGTTTTAGGACACAGATTTACGAGGGGTTGGGCTACAGGATTGCTTTCTCTCACTGCTCTGGAGGGCAAAGGCCATCTGGGCAGAGGCAGCATCGGTGGGGAGGCCTAGGAGCAGTGCTTCAGTTTACACGTAACCTTTCTCTAGTTTGTCCCTCAAGAGGTGCCCCACACTTCACTGAGCTGGTGGAATGGCTGTGAAATCAGCTCTGTTAGTGCCGCCCTGCTTCACTGATGTGGGTTTATTACACAGTAACTGACAACAAGTCTTCCGTATTCTCTCTTCTAGGGCTTGTTGAACATTCTGCTGGAGAGACAGCGAGCATTCGTAAGTACCACAGCTATTTCACTGCCATTTAAACCTTGGGGCCAAGTTCACCACTGGTGCCAGTGGATGTGGTTCCACTGACACCATTGGAGCAACACCTGCCTCTCCCTTGACACAAGGCAGGACTCAATCTGTTTCTGAAGCAATTTCCCCGGTACTGACTCTTCCTTGCCTGTTCTGCTCTTTCAGGCATCCCTTGGTCAGCCATCAAGCCCGCTGCTGCTGATAGCGCCCACGCAGATCATGTCATGGCTACACCAGTACCACGACAACTGCCAAGAGATTCTTGGTCACATCAAGTGAGTGCCTCCCTGGCTAGTCGCAGGTAGTTGAATTAGTGGGAAATACTCTTGCTGTGTCCTTGTCATTCATGGGCCAGGACAAACCACTGCCTTGCCCATGCTGCCGTGCAGTATGCTGTACAGGCCCTGTCTGCTGTATTTCAATTGATCTCTGCAATTGATGAGCACTTGAATGCAGCTGGTCAGAGAATCTTATCAGCAAAATGTCACCTCACTGCAAAAACTAACCAGCCAAAAGGGCTGATCTCAAATACCCACTTCAGACACTGCTTTCTTGCTCCTTCCTCCCCTAGAGCCTGAGCACACAGGTGGGGTTTGCAGCATGCACTGATGGGGCTGAAGTATAGCTTCAAATCACAGGCCTTGTGGCAGGCTGGTAGAGTACTTGGAGTTGCTGGTTTCTCCTTCATCTTCCCTGGGGACTCAGTGTGTAGGGTCAGATGATTGTATTCCAAGGGCACATGCCTGGGACCCAGGCATTAGCAGTGGCTGCTAATGACTGCAGCAGCTGGGGGCAGGAGAGCGCCGACCTTGCCCCATAGGGTGATGTTTGTTCCCCAGCCCCTCAGTGCCAGCTCTCTGTCTCCAGCCCTGAGGCCAGGGATCCCAAGGCCGAAGGGAGAGATGTTCTTGCTGCTGGGCTAGGCACCCCATCCCTGACACTTTGGGTACATGTAAGCTGCAGTTGGGGAGCACGCTCCCCAGCCCACATGAAAACACAAACTAGCTCTGATCCAGCTAATACGCTAAAATTAGCATTGTGGTCACAGTGGCTCGGGCTAGCCACCCAAGTACACACCTAGGATCGTGGACCGGATTATGCTCGGGTGGCTCATCCTTACAGCCACACTGCTATTTTTAGCATGCTGGCTCATTCAAAGCTAGAGCCTGTAATGGCAGACACTGCGTTTTTTATTTAGTAAAACTTGGCAATCTAATCAACATTGAATCTCCCTTCAATCAAACTGCAGCCATATTGGTGTACGTTACCTTTCTGCTGTGTGACTCCGAATCGGAGGTTTTCAAACCGTGGGTGGGCCCTCCTAGGGGGGCACAGAGGAGCATTTGGGGAGCAAGTAGTAATGCCAGGGAGCAGTCTTCAAAATTTTTGAGCTGAGTGTCCCCCAAGTCAGACGGGCTGGATGGCTCACCCCAGAGGGGTGAAGGTGACACTCGGTTCCTGAGCCCTGCCACACTGAGTTGCTGCTCCCCCCGTGAACATTTCTCCACCCCCGCCCCCAAGGGGGGGTGCCCCACAGTTTGAAAACCTCTAGAAGCTGTTGTTAAATGGAAGGCAGAAATCTGGGAGGGGGCACATAACCCTGTGTCCCCCCCCCACACACTGCTTCTGCCCATCTCAGATGGGGGTATGTGGTAGACTACCTTATTTGGAAAGGGTTATGCAGCCCAAAACACTTGAAAACCATTGCCCTAGTAGAATTGGTCAGCAGACCACTAGCAAGTCTGAGCTGCATTGTGTAATATATATCAGACTTACTAACTACCCCTTCACCAGCCCAGGCCAGTAACAAGCATCAAGACCTCCCCGAAACTCCAGGGGCTCTGCCCAGCCCTCGGCAGAGCTGCTGTGGATTTAACCTTGCGGATGTGCTCTCCAGTTACACTAAACACAACTTCAGAAAATGATTCACAACACTGTGTGGAGACGGGCTGCTCTGTTCTACTGTGTGGGCTTTTCAGACTGCCAACGTTGGCCTACCCCCGTTCTTGTCAAAGTGTATGGCCGAATTCCCATTCTGCTTCAGTAGGGGCAGAGTCAGCCCAATGCTGAGCACTTGGAAAAGCTCCTGCTTGTTTGTAGGAGGCGTGAATGCTGAGGCCTTATGTCAAAGGATCACTTTAGGTTTTGCAGTTGCATACCAGTAGCTAGACTTGACCTTTCGGCAGCCAGGTTCCTTCTGTGTTACACTGTGGGCTTGGACACTGCATGTCTGGAGTTACAGGGCCATGTGACCCAACTGGGGCGGGAAGAGAAGCAGTCCAGCACCGTATGGCTTTAGAAGTTGCTGAGATCTGCTCAGAATAGGCTCCTTCTAGGCCTGTGCTCTCTTTGGTATTGTTCAGACGTGGAGTTCCTGCCGTTAGTGTTGCTGTGCTTGGACTAGAGCACTAATAGCTCAGAATGTCAGGCAGTAACTTCTCAAACCAGGGTGCTTTGCAGGCAGTTCCACTAATGCAGTGGAGGATGCTCTGACTTGTCCCCAGTGCATGTTTCCATATGTTGTAGTTTGGATGTGGCTTGACATTGCTGAATTGTACTAGCCATTTATGCGATGATGCAAAACTTGCATGGCACTCCAGCAACCCAGCAAGATCTTGAGCAGAGAGAAAACAAACAGGCATGAAGCAACAGCCCAGGCAAGAGAGTGGGAGAACAAGGGAGCAAGGATTCCTGGAGGGGAAATTAATTTGAAGATGGGAAGAGGGTACTTGGTTGGATGAGTCTTCCCTGCTTATGGAGGAAGGGTGTGGGAGGAGAGAATGAGAGGAGAGCTGTGCGCAAGGGCATGGAGGGAGGGTGTTCTCATGGGCAAGGCACCTGCCCTGGGACTCGGCAGGGTTTGGTGAGGATGAACAATCTGAAGTTGGGAAAAATAAAACGTGAACGCCCCAGCACAGACCTAGTAGACCTGTCCTGGGGAAATCTCGCTGTACTACAATAGGCTGCTGTTTCCCAAATGGAACGTGCTGCTCTGCTGACATGAACAGTTTTCAGTGTAGCCTTGACTTCCTAAACGTCTCCCCTTTTTTCTCTGCAGTATGATTCCTGCCAGGTTTCTGGTGGAAGGGGCGAAAGTCAACGGACCTAAAGCCGAAGCTCTCATTAGCCCAATGCTGGAGAAGTATGACTTTGCAGAGGTAAGCTGGCTGGCGGCCAGGAGAAGGCGGCGAGAAGAGTGTAGGGGTAACCTATGGTGGATAACTCTTGTGGTCCTCTTCAGTTCCAGACATGCGAGGTCCGGCACTGTAAAAATGCCTTTGCTTGTTCGATGGAACACACATCTGGCTGGAAAATAGTCTATTCTGGTGACACGATGCCCTGCGAGGCCTTGGTCCGAATGGGTGAGTTGAAAATGCACTCTGGCTGAAAACGCATTGTAATCACTTTGCCAACAGCCGTTAGCCTGTTTAGTGAGTGAAACAGATGTCGATAAACCCTCCCTAATCTGCTCTTGCAAGTGTTGGGTGTCTCATCTCAAAATGCTGCAGGGAGGCGGTCTTGGGCTCTGTAGTAGAGACTATGCTAATCTGAGCACAGAACAGCTCTGTATGTTAACTTGTGTGCTACCTGTGTGAGCTGAGGGGTGAAAACATTAACCCTAGCTACACTGGTCAGTGGGACAAGCGTTGGGATGCATTATCTTTGTCTTTCTTTCTGGGTTCACTGCTGGAAGTATGGGGGGGGGGGGGGGTTAGAGAAGCACACTTGTCCCCTAATAAACATAGTACATGTCTACTTGATAAATCTCCCCCCTGACGTGGTATGTTCCACCAGAAGTACAGAATGAGTATATGGTCTTATGCAGGAAAAGATGCTACGCTGCTGATCCATGAAGCAACGTTGGAGGATGGCTTGGAAGAAGAGGCAGTAGAGAAGACGCATAGGTAGGGTATTTCTGAGAAACTGGTTCTGTCTTCCTAGGAGTGAGATACAGAACTGGGCTTGGCCCTCAGAGCTGGTGATGAAAGAGGTTTCTGCTGCCCATGATGTCCTGGGTGCACACATCTCCAGGCTCTGGAGGATCCCAGTTAGAGAGTTTGATCTCTTATTGATGGTGAATGAACTGGTTCTGTAACCTGGACACAGGGGGCATCCCCTCAAGATAGGGAGCGGTTACTGTACAGCTGGGTAGCTGGAGAAATGTGATCTGCTAGAGGGGCCCTTAGCTGGTTACCCATTGGCATTGGGGTGAGGACTTGGATCATTTGGCACCCGTCTCACTCTTGAATTCATTTTGGGACCTATCTGAGCTGTCTCTCTCAAGACTGGTATGTGCCTTGTGAATGCCCAATTCAAAGGGGGTGAGAAGGGGAGCACTGTGCCCTACATGGGTGCAGAGAAGACCCAAGTGCAGCATTTGGGGTAAGGGGGAGGGATGTGGGTGTGGTTAAGGTACATGGGATGGGGGGGGGCGGGGGAGGATGGGAACAACAAGCTGGCACCCCCAGGGACAAGCGTTCAAGTAAACCCCATGCTCCCAGAATTCTTCTCAAAAATGGTGAACACCCATCTCACTGCAGCCTTGCTTGCCCCCTCCTCATTGCTGGAGGGGCAAGTGTGACTCGCTCGCTGTATGCCACATCCGCTGATGGGCAAGCTGTCTTCATGCACTGGCTGATTCAAATAAGAGCAATGCAAGTTCTCGTGCACTTGAGCTCCAGCTGGCACGTTTTGCCTGTGTTGGGTAAAGGCTGGGGCATTAGCACTTGGTAACGCTGCCTCTAGGTCCCCTCATGGAGAGGGCTGTGCTGTCTGGCCTCTCCGTGCGGTCACCAGGGTTCCACTAACCATTCAGTCTTGCTCCCCTTGCAGCACGACGTCCCAGGCGATTGGGGTTGGGATGAAGATGAATGCAGAATTCATCATGCTCAATCACTTCAGCCAGCGGTACGCCAAGATCCCGCTCTTCAGTGCAGATTTCTCTGACAAGGTTGGAATCGCATTTGATCACATGAGGGTAAGTTGGGAACTTGGAGCCAGGCTCTCCAGGGAGCTGGGCTGTACTGAAAATCGGGCTGTTTGCAGATCTGTTGCTGAACCCAGAATAGTAGGCTTTCAGTGAGCTTCCCAGGCACAATGGGTTCCACTGGCAGCGCTTCATTGGGTACAGGAAATCTCTGCTAGAAGTGGACTGTTTGCTCAGCAGCTGGAGGTGAAGTCTTCAGTTGCCACAATCAATATGCTTGGGTAAACTTGCCAGCTGGGGAGGTGTCCAGAGGTAGCTCTTCTGAAGGAGGCTAGTTTTGCAGCGATTGTCCTTTCCTGGCATTGCTGCAAACATAGGGGAGTTCATGTCTGCAGTGTTCACTGGCTGCCAGCTTTGTGCCCAGGAGCCTGCCTTGCCTGGTTCCACTGGTGTAGAGGCCAAGAGGATGAGTGTGAAAGGAGAGGGCTTTTCTGTGCCACTTGCCCAGTAAGAACTGAAAAGCCACTTGTCCAGAGGGAACCTTGTGGGGCAATGTTAGAGCAGCCGCTCCCAGGCAACGCTGGAACCCTCCCTCTGTGTGAGCGAGGTGCATGCATTGTCAGGACTAACAGACTGATGGGCATACACGTCTAGTATCCGAATTCCCCTTGGCACTAACCTAATCCCCTGCAGGCTGGGGATTAGAGCCCTCCGGTCATCAATAGCATAGCAAGGTGCCCCAACACTGACTTCTGAGAGAGCAGCGCCCCTTCCTCCTGCCCTCCCTTCCAGTGCTTTCTGCTGCCACTGCAGCACTTACATAGCAATTACCACATCTAAATGGGTCAAGTTGTCTCCCAGAAAGATGCCTTTGTATGCATTGGCCCTCTCTAAATTGGTGTACTAGATATGCTCCCCTGTGTGCGATCCAGGGGGGTTGCCTGTCTGTGGGCCACTGTCCTCTCCAAAGTGCCCCTGGGTGTCAAAGCATTATTGCTACCTTAGGTATAATCGGTGCACTGAGTGCCACCATCCTCCCCTTCCCCTCATCTCATTGCATTCTTTTTGGGTGTGTCTTTACATGGCAAAAGGCTACTAAACATGAACTTGTTGCACTTATGAACTGAACAAATACTAGCCGAAGGATTGGTGCCATTAACTCTTGTATTGTGTGTTCCCTGCCTTGTGCTCAGAAGAGATCTTTTTACACGATGCCTTCTCTGGGGATTCTGAGATAAATAGAAAAGGAAACACCCACTGCCCCTGTATTGCGATCTGGACCCCACTGGGCTGGGTGCTGGACAGACATAATGAGTGTCCCTGGTCTAAAGAGCTTGAGGTGTAAATGGACGAGACAAAGGGTGGAAGGGGAAACAGAGGCACAGAGCAAAATGCTATTCCTCTGCCGTGTCCCCTTCCTGTGAATGTCAATCTGAAACTAATTGCTTTTCAGGTGTGTTTTGGGGACTTTGTGACCATCCCTAAGCTGATCCAGCCCCTGAAGGCTCTGTTTGCTGATGAGATCGTGGAAATGGAGGAGCGGAAGGAGAAGCGGGAGCTACGCCTGTTGAGAGAGGCTATTGTAGCTTCAGAGAAGCTGATGGACAGTGAGAACAAGGCTAGCAAGTCGATCGCGGCCTCCAAGAAACGGGAACATGCAGAGAACCATCAGGAAGGGCCGAGCAAGAAGCTTAAAACAGCAAACTGAGCCAAGCGTGTGAAAGAAAGTGGCTCTGAGCAGCTTTGGGGAGTGTGGAGTGCTGCATACCTCCCCAAGTGAGGGCATGGGGTGCCAGTGGTGATGGGCTGGTGATGCCTGCAACTGCTACATGGGCAGGGTTCCCCCTTGTGCTGATGTTACCAAGTATACAGTAAGAAGTGACAAGGTCTCTGGCCCATGTCAGCACATGCAATTCATGTTTCTCGCTGGTGCTACCAGCCATCTGTCAACTTCCAGCTGCCTTTCTTCCCTCAAGTGTTTTTATTTATTTTTTTGGTTTTAGACTGGAAGCTGTTGTGTGTAACAGCGGTTGTGATGACAGGAAGTCGCTGAAGGTGAGGTCCACAAAACCCCCATGGGGCCGTGGAATCTCCCAGAGTACATTAGGAAAGCCCCTGCTTACAATTGTGGGAATGTAACAATGTAAATAAGGGTCTGATCCCAGATGATAAGATGAGGTAATTCCACAATAAAATAGGACCCTATTAACCGTTTATTTTGGAGCTCGAGCTTCACTGGGCTTGAACACAGGAATCTCGAGTAATTTTGCAGTGTTCATCTTTATTACTATGGCTTTCTCAATTTGATTCTATGAGTTCTGCTAGTGAGCAGATCCTTGCAGATGTGATCTCTTCATAGTGCTGATCTGAACAAAACAAACTGGGAATAGCTGAGTATGACCCTGATCCTAAATTGCTGTCGTAGCCCTGCTGGAAAGACCAGAATCTCTCATGTTCTTGAGCTATGCGTAGGGATTCATGCCCCCTCTAGCATTACTCGGTATCACTTGAGTTCAGGGAAAATAATCTTCCTCTGCCACACAATCAGCTCATTTTGTTAATGTAAATAAGGAGCTGATACCAAAGTTGGATGCTTCTCCTCTAGTGCTCCAAGGGGTAGAGACTGAAGTGCTAAGTAGGACAGCATTGCTGAAAAGCTTTCCTCAATCAGAGGGCCACAGGGCTGGTTAGACACCAAAGGACTGAGTCCCATCCAGCTGATCAAGTACTGGATAAGGGGAAAGGGAAGGTTCACAAGTGAACTAACATAACAGAGGGTGTGCTGCTGAGAGAACAGCACTCTGCTAACCAGTGGAACAATTTACCAAGGGCCATGAAGGATTTTCCATCACTGACAACTTTTAAATCAAGAGTGGATCTTTTTAAAAAAAAGATTCTTTAGTTCAAAGGGAATTATTCCGGGGGGGTTCTGTGACCTGTGCTCTATGGGAGGTCAGACTAGATGATCACAGTGGCTCCTTCTGACCTTGGATCTCTGAATCTGATGTGTCAAACTAGTGGTGTTCCTTGCTCAGCTGTGTGGTTACTGCAACAGTTGCAAGTGCATTTATGGGGAGACCCTGCTTAACTGTCTGGCTTAATCAGAAGTTTTTTTTCTTGTACCGAACGCTAATTTTAGGCAACTAATCCTACATGAGAGGTTTGCTCAAGAAATGGTGGTAGCAAAGCTTTAAGAATGTTAAATCTTCAGTCAGAGTGAAAATTGAGACAAATTGGCTAAATAACAAATCATTTGTGGTTTAGTAGGGCTGTAACATCTACAGAGGGAAGCTATACTGACAAGTACAATCCAATACTGCAAAAAGTCACGAGGCTTTGAGACCCTGTGACACTTAGAGCGTCTTTGTTCATTGCTCTGAATTCTGATATAACCTAATCCCTGTTATCATTTATTTATCTCCTAGGAATGCAACCCTGTGTAGTGTAAAATAGCTGCTGTTTAACAAGGCACAGTGACAACACACTAGTAAGAAGTCTCCCAGAACTGTTTTAGGTAAAGCTATTACTAAAATGCAGGCAAAGAAGTACTTGGAAAATCTGAACCCGTCCAGTGCAGTAACTCTCCACATGAGGGTAGGAATTGTTTCACAAGTCTGTAGAGCTATTGCCAACAAGTCATTAATAAATGGAGGGAGTGAATAAGAATAGAAAAAAAACCCATGTGCTGTACTAGTCTTCCACACTGAGGCAACAGCAATCCTGGCTCTTTACCAATGCTAATTACTTAGTGAATTAATGGAAAAGTTACTCAGTACCCTCTGGGAAGCTATGCAGGGGTGGGTAGGGCCAAAGATACAGTATTGTCATTCTAATTGCAAAGTTAAGAGGCATGTCTTGTGGTGCACAGGTGAATTGCTCTGGCTGGAGATTGGCCAGGGCCGCAGGGCTAACTGCTTCCCCAGCGTGAGATTGCCCTCTTGTTCCTCACTTTGAAATGGGGGCTGTTACCCCCACACAGATACAAAAGTAAGTGATGTGCCTGTGGAACATTTTCTCCCTGCTGCTACACCTGTCACTTCTGCCTAACACACAGCAGCGCCTGTCTAGAAGCACAGCTAGCTTCTGTCCATGCTGCCCACATAAAGAAACCTGCTGCCTTCTTTCCCCATGCTCAGCACTGCTCTGCAGCAATGGCTGGCACAATCTAGGCTCCTCACTAGGCTGGGAAGCCCTGTGTCCCTCCCAGCCAGGGGCTACATGTCCCAGATCGGCCCTCTGGCTCTGGGAGTCTTACAGGAAATGGGGCTTTATGCTGGTTTTGGAAGACCCAGCAACATGCCCCACAACAAGCTGCTGGCTGAGGTGGTACCACTGCCCCAGGCAGAGTGAGCACGTGCACAGTAGGGACCAGCTCCAGCGGACAGCATTACATAAGAGCCAAGACCAAAGGTCCATCTAGCCCACTATCCTGTCTGCCGACAGCGACCCATGCCAGGTTACCCTGAAGGGAATTAACAGAACAGGTAACACTGCTCTACAGCCAAAATGCTTCTGAAATAAATGTAGTCAAACTTTACTAATTCTGGGTCACTGAGAATGAAAATGATGCTTAAAATTGTTGATTGGCTCTAGTTTTCAAGATCTGCTATTGGGTCAGTATATACGACCCTTGACTTGGGAATGGCGGAGGATAAGTGAGTTATAAAGGGAAGGGATCTCAATTTAAACCAGAAATGACTAAAATACATCTTTGACTGGATCTATGAATAAATCTGACTGGGTTTGGACAGTACTTGCTTTTTAGGCAAAACAATGAATGATGCAATCTGAAGCAGGTATTGCGTCATACATGATATGAATTGCATCATGTTATTCCTAGAAGTCATGCATGATGCAATCATAACGAAGCTTACATCACTCTGCTGAACAAATTGTCCTATATCAGCTCTAGAAATCAGTGTCATGCTCTCTTATTTGTCAGTGTTTGATTTTTGCAAAGGGACACATTTCTGTTTAGCCAAAGTGAGCAGAGATGCCTCGTACTTGTGTGAACAGTGCAGATAACTTCTGCTATGTTTGTGGTGAAGTGACTTTTGCATCACAAAAGTGCAATATAACCACTAAGGCTTTCTTAACCAATCACCTTTATTTTGGCTGCAAAATTGGAGATCAGGACAAGAGGTGGGCCCCACACATATGCTGCAACACTTGTGCAACAAATCTTTGCCAGTGGTTGAACAGGAAAAGGAAATCTATGCCTTTTGCAGTGCCAATGATTTGGAGAGAGCCAACAGATCATACCAGCAATTGTTGCTTCTGCATGGTGCCTCCAGTTGGGAAAGGTGTGTCAAAGAAGAAAAAGTGGACTGTGCATTATCCAAACATTCCATCAGCTATACGCCCAGTACCCCACGGAGAAGGACTGCCGGTTCCTGATGCACCAGAATCATTCTCACTTGAGTCAGACGAGGAAGAGGATGAAACTTCTGGTCCTGAACCATCAATGTCACAGGACCCACATTTTCTCCCATCCTCCTCCTCTGAACCACACCTCATAACACAAGGTGAACTGAATGACCTTGTCAGGGATTTGGAACTACCCAAGAGTAAGGCAGAGCTGTTGGGCTCCAGACTACAGCAGTGGAATCTCCTGGCAGGTGGTGTTAGGGTTTCCATGTTCCATGACCATCAAAAGGATCTTGTCCCATTCTTCTTCATGGAAAGTGATCTTGTAGCCTGCAACAACATCGATGGTGTGATGGCAGCCCTCAACATCATTCACCGTCCAGATGAGTGGAGACTGTTCATTGATTCATCGAAGACGAGTCTTAAAGCTGTTTTACTGCATAATGGCAATGTTTTGCCATCAATTCCAGTCGGTCATGCAGTCCATAGGAAGGAAACCTATGACAACATGAAACAACTTTTGAGATGCATAAACTATGACCAACATCAGTGGCAGCTTTGTGGCGATTTGAAGGTTGTTGCTCTCTTGCTTGGTTTGCAGACTGGATACACACAGTACTGCTGTTTTCTCTGCGAATGGGATAGTCGTGCAAGAGATTCCCACTACATCAAGAAAGATTGGCCACTCCGACAGTCATTGGAGCCTGGGAGGAAAAGTGTTCAGCATCCACCACTTGTTGAATCAAGGAAGATTTTGTTACCACCCTTACACATCAAGCTGGGTCTGATGAACTTTGTCAAGGCCATTAACAAAACACAAGCAGCTTTCAAGTACCTCCATGGAAAATTTCCAATGTTAAGTGAAGCTAAGATAAAGGAAGGTGTCTTTGTTGGTCCTCAGATTCGTGAACTTCGAGATGATGCATTTGACCATGCACTGCGTGGCAAGGAAAAGACGGCATGGAAAGCCTTCCAGTTAGTGGCAATAAATTTTCTCGGAAACAACAAGGCAGACAACTACAGGTTGTTGGTGGAAAACCTCCTCAAGGCATACAAAAGCCTTGGTTGCAACATGTCACTAAAGATACATTTTTTTTGCACTCTCATCTAGATTTTTTTTCCACTGAACTGCGGAGCAGTGAGCGACGAGCGCGGTGAGCGATTTCATCAGGACATTGCAACAATGGAGAAACGCTATCAGGGCAAATGGAGCCCATCAATGCTTGCAGACTATTGCTGAACAGTGACAAGAGACAAGCCAAGAAGCGCCGAGTAGACACTGAATAGGACTAAACTATGTACATAATAGTTTTTTGCCTTTTGTTTCATAATAAATTTTATTTATATAACCCTTTTGCTGATTTTTAAAGTGTTACATAAACAGGACAGGTGAAATATTATCATGTAAAGCAACCATAAACACATGAAAAGACCTAGGTTTACAATTTATGATTAAAACTCTATCTACACAATATACATAGACATAAAATGTAAAAACTTAAATATCTTAGAAACAGTAGCCACTCAGTTGTTTTAATTGTCATATTTGAATTCAGCACATCAAAATACATAATAAATAGCACATTTTATCTCTAAAGCAGACGACTTCTCAAAAATTGTAGACCAGTGTAATCAAGTGATCCATCCTCGGTTGTCCACTCCCAGCTTCTGGCAACCAGAGGCTAGGGACATCATCCCTGCCCATTCATTGATGGACCTATCCTCCAAGAACTTTTCTTTTTTTTTTTTAAACCTAGGTATGCTTTTGGCCTTCACAATGTCCCCTAGCAAAGAGTTTCACAAGTTAACTGCGTTGTGTGAAAAAACACTTCCCTTTGTTTTAAATATGCAGACTATTTCAGGGGGTGAGCCCTAGTTCTTGTGTTATGAGGAGTAAATAACATTTCCTTAAAGTTGGTTTTATTAATCTCCCCTCATACAGAAGCTGTTTCATGCCACTAAACATTTTTGTTGCCATTTTCTGTACCTTTTCCAGTTCCAAAATAGTGTTGCTCCCTATAGACATTTCACTCTATGCAGCCGAAGAAGTGAGGTTTTTACCCACGAAAGCTTATGCCCAAATAAATCTGTTAGTCTTTAAGGTGCCACCAGACTCGTTGTTTTTGTAGATACAGACTAACAGGGCTACCTCCTGATACTTGTCCACTAGAGGGAGTATCTCCGGGGGCCAATTCCATCCACACCTACAGGGTCTGATCCAGGGCAGTTGGAGGGTGACAATCCCAGCCCCTTAAGTCAATGGCCCAGGGTTTCACCCTGAGACTCTTGGCCGTGTGGTGAGTAGTATGTCTACAGTCAGTTTAGCTGTATTGATCCCAGCATGATTTGTAGTACCATGGTGCTAGGTGCTGTACAAACACACCAAAACAGTTCCTGCTGCCAAAGAGTTTACAGTCTCTAAGGGTACGTCTACACTTACCTCCGGGTCCGACGGCAGGCAATCGATGTTCTGGGATCGATTTATCGCGTCTTGTCTAGACACGATAAATCGATCCCGGAAGTGCTCGCCGTCGACGCCGGTACTCCAGCTCGGTGAGAGGAGTACGCGGCATCGACGGGGGAGCCTGCCTGCCGCATCTGGACCCGCAGTAAGTTCGGACTAAGGTACTTTGAAGTCAGCTACGTTATTAACATAGCTGAATTTGCGTACCTTAGTCCGAAGTGGGGGGGTAGTGTGGACCAGGCCTAAGACAAGGACGGAGCACAAGGAGACAAGGGTGAGCAGTGTGAAGGGCAGTGGTCTCAGCACAGCAGCAGCCTGACTTTTCAAGCTTTTGTAGGCCTGGAGAATTTGAAGGAGTGTAATAGGCCTGGTCTACACTTCCGACTTAGAGCTAGTTACATCACTGAGGGCTGTTTTGAAAATGTCATGCCCAAGAATTCTTCTGTCAACCTAGCTACTGCATCTGAGGGATTAATTACATGGACAGAAAAAACCCTTTCTGTTGATGTAGGAATCGTCTGCCCTATGGCGCTATAGCTGTACAGCATAGTGTATCCATACTTAGTTTTGCAGATATTTATGGGGCGCTTTCCCAAGCTTGTGGGGCAGTGTGAGAGAGAGCACAAAGGGGCTTATTTAAAAATAACAAGGGGGTGATCAGAAGTGGAATTAGACATCTTGATAGTGAATGAGATGATAGGGTGGGGATATGCCATGAAGACCATAAGCAGGTGGCTACTGGTATAGACTTGGGACTGGCTTCTGCCCTTCTTCTCACCCAAACCTGCAAAGCACTATGCCTCTTGTGACACTCACACAGTCTGCAGGTCTGTCACATATTCCCCCACAACCAGCAAACTATCCCATGCTGATTGCCTTGAGAGAGACTTGCCCCACATAGTGCCTGGTAGAAGGGGCGCTTGGCTACTGGCAGAGACAAGAGCCCCTCGGTTGTAATCCCTGCTCTTCATGTTTCCGTGCCTTTCATGCTCACAGCCCTTTCCGGGAGAGAATAGCTATAATTCTCCTGCTTCACAGCTGGGGGGGAATGTATGAGCTCAAAGCAGAGACTAGAATGCAGCTCTGTAATGTGACCACCTCAAGGCTCGCTTTCTTTGCCACATTGTCTTTTGGAAAGATTGGACTCAGTCTTGTGAAACCCACCACAAATCTCTGTCCTGGCTTTAGCTTTTAAGAGCTTGTTGATGCTTGCATGCTATTGCTTGTAGTTGTTCAGCTCAAGTAATAGAGGGACATGCATTTAGACCCAGAGAATCCAAGTTCAGCCCCTGAAGATGATCCAGCAGGGCACTGTTACACTTGGCTGTTCCGCTGCTAGACCACACTTAGCTCCCAGAGTCAGGGGAGAGCTCAGGGATCTTCACACCCAGATTTCTAGCACTAGATCACAAATAGTTATCACCCAGTGGTAAAAAGTGTATTGTAGCTTCCTCTATGGGCTGCTCCTCACAGGATAATAGCAAGGCTTCATGAGCAGTTTTTCTGATATAACTTGTAGTGCCTGGGAGCTCAGTCATGGACTAGGACCCCACTCTGTTATTAGGGTGAGGCACTAGTTCCAATATTTAACCCTTTGTCCCACATCCCCATCAATGTATGATCGGGAAGCCATTTGTCCTGATATTCAGGTAAGGAGGCGAGCGGGAGGGAGGCACTGACCCTGTGGGTGCTCCGGGGCTGG